TGCTTTAAAAGTTCAAGCATTAACAAGAGTACTATACCGTCGACAACACCAAGAATCTGCAAATCTTGAGTTGGATCTCGTGAAATTTGAAAATATTATTGAAAGTGCAGATCCTCAACTTGAGGGCTTTTTTAAATATATGATGAATTTAGTTATTTCTAGAGAACGTTCTGCCCATAGTATAAATGAAGCAAAGAAGTCTGTTGTTGGCCTGTGCTATATGATGGCAGGCTTACGAAACAAATTTGTCAATCAATATAAGTTAGAAGTTGGCTTGTATCTGATGGCTTCGGGTGCAACATGGGATGCAGTTGATACAATATCGAAACTCGGATATTCCATGTGTGCTAATACTGTAGAAAATTTTCGAAAAAAAGTACAGAGTCAATATTCAATAAAAATCGAAGAACATTTTACAAATCATGTACTTTTTATTAATTAAATTTAAATAATTTAAATATTAATATCGTGTTTAAATAAAATTTATTTTTATTTTTATTTTTAATTAGAAAAATCAACTTCACGTTTACAACATAGATGATTATCACGCAATTCATGGAATTAGAAGGCCAGACACCACTTCAACATCTAGTGCAAACCATTTTGCTACATGCGTAGCAAAACCCGTTTTAGAATCTCAATCTGTTTTACTTGTACACAATAACATATCTATCCATAATCCGGCAAACATTGAAGCGCCAAGAATCTGTTGGCATCTTATTAATAATTATACTGGAACATTCGATATTCCATATTTCGAATGACAGTTATATTGGGTTTCACGAAATCGTTTAGTAATTAATAAACTTGATAGAATTGATGCTTTAATGGTGCATAACTATAATGACAATCTAGAACAACGGAAAGAGGAACGATCAATGGAAGGTCTTAAGTTAGTTGGATTTAATGAGCAAGGATTACACTCAGTTGAAGACTATATTAAGGCGATAACACTTATTTTATCTATTAATAATAAAACACGACATTTGGATAATTGCGTTGTGCCACTTGTTGCCGATTGGCCTGGCCAATTGTTTGTTAGAAAAGCTCTGTATATGAAACCGCCGCCGTGAAACATTGAACCATTCTTACCAATTTTGGGTCCGCTACACTTATCCTTAAACAGTAGAGAACATGTTTTTTTAGTGCACTATTTCTTTTTCAAAAAATTATTTCACTTTGTTTTTGGTTCCGGTAAAATGCTTGCAAAAAAGCCTCGCCCGTGGAGGATTAACCTTATTTTAGAACTTACTCGAAATGGATGGGTAAAAATTCGGGACAAAATTATAGAAAATTTTGGAAAAACGTGTAAGGACCTCGAGTATCGAACTACAATCGATTTACTTGATAACATAGTGCCGGCAACACTTGATATCTATGCAAATTTATTTCGAGCAGGTTTGTTTGATGAATATGTGGAAACGGTTTTCTGCATTTGGACGTTCGCATTATGGTAGAAATGGAAAAACTACAATAAAGCACCTTTGGCTTTTTTGTCCAATGTGTTTTATTGGAAGGATAACGATCATCCTTTTTTTGACATAATTCGAATGCATTTGCCGTACTTCAACGAATATTATGTAGAGAATACTCACAGTCGAATTAGGGCAAATACATCACCAAATGCAACAGTTGACAATATAATAAAACAAGCCTATGTTATTAGTAAATTGG